CTCACACGGAGCTATGCGCAAGTTTATGTTATCAGCATAGTAAATGAAGCTACCTATGAACTGAAGCCCCGAGCTCGCCACAAAATTCACAGTTTGAGAAACACAAATGAAACTGGGTTTTCACCAAAGCATCTCTCACGAGGGCACCTCACATTTTTGCGAAGAGAGGCTTGGTAACCGTGTGTGAAGCTAGATGCCGAGAGGAAAAGGGGGGGTTTGGTTTGAAGCGTTATCGGATGCCACGGGTTAAACGATTTCCCTGTGGTTCCCGGGGCGTTGGGACACGGGACGGGGCCCCGCAGGGGGGGCTGCCCCGGGAACATGATGCACTGTCCGCTTGAACGTGTGGGACGAGTCCTTCTATCCCTCTCTTTTCCTCTCTCTCTCTCTCTCTTCGGGACTTCAAGCTGATCACGGGTCCGAGAGAAGGGAGACCGTCTGTAAGTAACCTTAGTTTTTACTGGACACAATTTCTGTGTGTGAAACTGTGGATTGGAAAGTTTCACGTTAGTTGCCCATCACGCTGAAGCTGAGGTTTGTCGTCTGCTGCAATGTGACCTGTGATCGTCGTGTCTTTGGCTGGAGCAAAAACATGAGTAGCGAGCAGAGAGCATGGATTCTTTCTCGGGGTTATTATTATCATTATTATTATTTTAGTTTTCCGCCAGGCCCCTCTTATAACATTTGAGATAAGCCCCGGGATCCGAGTCGTGATTCGGTCTCATCGTAAAAAAGTCGAATCTGGAAAATTGATTCCATCTTCCTGCATATTTTGGTTGATTTGAGTACTTGATTTTTTCATGTTTGAGGCCAAAGACTCCGATAATCATCACATTTATGAGTACTGAGTACTGGAAAAGAAAGACGAAGAAGACTTCGCAGGGTTCAAAGAATTTTTCGGCGTCTGTATAATTCCCATTCCTTCTTGTCTGTTGCGATTTTTTGAACTGTCATCTACGTAAATTTAATTTTATCATTTTCTGCTGTGATGTCTTCATTTCCGGAACGGAAGTTTTTATGATGCTTGATTGCAATTTTGAGTAACCGGTGTATATTTGTATGCAAAAACTCTTATACTATACGAGAGATACGACTTAATTTTTCTATAAATTTTGAAAGACCATATTTTGGCTCAGCGAATTTGGAATAACACAATGACGTTTTTCGAACAAAGAAAAACTGCAGTGCACCGCAAAATTTCATCAGTTCATAACCAGTAATATAGCTGAATCTTCCTGGAACAGTGATCAGGTGGTTTGGCAGATTTGCTATTGAATAGTCTCAGCCTCATCCTCTCGATGACGGTCTACGTTGGATGGACATTTGACATCTACTTTTACATTCGTGAATATGCGGCATATTTTTACATTTTGTCAACTCATGGTTGTCCAATCGACATATGTATATACACTTGAAGAAGTACCATTCTTCAATCTTGGAGCTTGCTTTTATTCACACAAAATCAAGAATCTGTAAAATTCCTTCAGAATACGGCGTTGAGTCTGTCGGAGTTACATTTAAACGAATGCTTTCTAGATGCTCTTTAGTACGTTCTTCGCAATACTTGTGAACTTCGCTTTTTGAAAAATGTTTTTTTGTTTGTGCGAATTTCTCTGGCTTTGTTGATGAAAGACGGTAGCTTTCTCCTAAAATGCCAAAATAAGCTATTTTCTGAAGAGCTGTGCGAAATTTGCGCCTGCTTGGAACCGCAAGCAGAACCTTCTAACCTCAACTAACCCAGCTTTTCACATGAAGTAAAAGGAGCAGAGAAAATAAAAAATCCAAGTGATGTGGGTAAATCAGAAAAAGGCAGACGCGCTGCTGTGAATGCGCAAGAAGTCGCGCATGCTCGTGCGTTCGCGACCCAGTTTTTGCACGCAATATTTTATCCGCACACATCCCACACCTCCCTGTTGAACCAGAAAACTGTAGAAGGAAGGCTTCCTCTGCGCACCTCTTCGAGTAGCGCCCCAATTACGAATTAACTCTCACGGCGAAGTCACTCGAAAATGAAAGAAAATTCGAGGGATATTTCATAAGTATTTTTTTTCTGCCGTGTGCACATTGAAAATAAGTTGATTTTTGAGCCTCGAGTACCGAATTCGATGCGTCTGAACCACTGTGGGATCAATGACACTTGAGAGAAACTTCAGCTCGTTTCATAAATGCCCGTACATGATTTTCCAGCTGAGAATTGTTGATCACCAGTCGACATTTTATCGTAGACTTAGCACTGTCCATTAATTTTGCACAATTTGTTGAAGGCAGACAAATTTTATCCTAGAGATATGGCTTTCCAATTTGATGCATGGTATGAAATTTGAAAAAGTCGGGGTGATCTTGGCCAGTTCGCAAATCCGTGAAACTTGCGAGGGTAGTTCGTACTTCATTTACGTGACTATATGCCGCATCTTGATTTGGTCTGTCGTTGTAAAATGAAAAGCTCTTCGGAAATGAAAAGCTATGGAATTTGTCAGAGAAATTGCCTATGCATAAACGATGCAATCGTATTTCTTAAAATTTTCCCGACCGTGTTTTCCCTTCTAGAAATACAATATGATCTTGTTTTTAAAGAACATACAGCAGGGTATTTGCTGAACGTGCGGTAGCTTCGTTCTTGACTTTTGAAACAAAAAAATATACATGGATAGGTAGTCTATCTCTCATATTGAAACCAGCTACATCTGGGACATTGTCTGAAATTTATGTATTATTCGCATCATCAGTGTGGCATGTGGTCGAATACAGGTAGACTCTCTCTAAAGCGGTGTTCTCCGGATAAAGTTTTTTTTCGCGTGGTCCCACGGAGTTCCCTACCGATTATTACATAGTTCAAGAATATTTTTCTGGTCACCTGTATTTCGTTGTAGAGAGTCCGCCCGTATCTCGAATCTAGGTGGGACCCTCCTGCTTTTTTTTTTCTCGCAGTATTTGAAAAAAATTGCGCGCTGTATACTCACTGTATTTTAAATCTAATTTCCTCGCATTGGTGCACCGCCGAATCTGTCGTCATCTCTCTACTTCAATCTTGGCGAGCAAGAGCGCTAAAAAATCGACCGAGCCTTTACCGTGAACAATTATTTTGAACTCCTATCCATCCATCCAACAAGGGAAGCACGAAGTCGGGCAGAACTTCTACCTTGACCCTGGTAGATACAATTGACCTCAGTAATAGGAACCTCCTCAAGTCAAAAAACCTCCATATGTTGATATGTTTCCAGGTCAAGTCTGAATCCCCTAATAAACAATACAGCACATTAAAAACCTCCACAACTCGAAGGCTTTCTTCCTCAAAACGCCATTAATCGAATTCTCTGGAGGCCTTCTGGCAATTATCACAACTTGAAGCATTTTGAAAGGAATTGGACGACTAATCGATTAAATGAACCCTTGCCTTCAAGTTCAGCATCCTGTCAACTGATTTAAGAAGCAATTCAAGGCATAGAATATCACCGATTACAATTTCCCGTAATTCTTCCTTTCTTCCCCGCCCCCAACACAAATCCTTGTTGTCTGAACTCGAAACCCCCGAGCTCGAATTTTTTTGCTGGTCTCTTGAAGTTTGATCTTGAGAGGTTCCACTATATAGACAGCCCTTCCTGCGAAAAAATAATTAAAACTACTGTAACATACCTGACCGAGTCGGGGCAGAACTTATGACCCAACCCTGGTAGATAGACATCCCCTTCCTGTGGAAAAATATACCTGACCGAAGAGAGACAGCAGGCGTCCGGAATCCCGAGTTCGGCGGCGGGCGAACGAACGAACGAACGAAAGAAAGAAAGAACGAAAGAACGAACGAACGAAGGAAGGAAGTAAGGAAGGAGTTGCGGCTGCGCTTTGAAGTTCCCGCTGGGCTGCTGACCGAACGTCATTTACGAAATGGGGTCCATGTCCTTTCATTAACTCTGCTCTTCAACTTACAACCCGAAGGTTTGAAGAGTAGGAAAGCCAATAAAAATGAAAATAAAAAATAAAAAACGAACCCCCCCCCCCCCACACACACGGCTTCTCTACCTGACGCGTAATTCCTTTTTTTGCTGTTGCGGCCAATCATTCATTTAAAGGAGTTCTCCACGTCGCAGAAATCATGTTTTTTCCCCATCCCGCGATACCCCAGGGGCGGCCCTGGTTAATGTCGGTGTTGTTTGGAGGGCATTATGAGTTTAATTAGTTGCAAGGGCATTTTTCATAAAGCGGGGTGAAGGAGAGCAGAGAGAGGGAGAGAGAGAGAGAGAAGATGTTTCGGAAGATATTTCGCAGAGAGGGAGAGAGAGGGGGGGGGGGGGGGGTATTGATGAGCCTACGTTTTAATTACGAAGAGAGCCAAGGGCTTCTTGGGAACTGCTCCGGTTCTGTGGGAAGTTGTGAACCAAAACCTTTTGCGCTCTGCTTGCTTGGCTGCGATCATTACGCATGATTACTCCTCGTGTCTCTCCTTTCGGGTTTATCGAGAGAAGGCTTTGCCGTTCGGATCAATCAATCAATCAATCAGTCAATCAAATCAACGTTCTTGGTTTTATTGTCGCTGCTTTTTTTTGTTTTTTCTTCTTCGTCGTCTTCTTCTGGTTTTATCGCTGGCCTTTTCGCAGTCTGACGGTTCGGTTGAGTTTTAAGAGCTCGACCGGAAAATAGACTAACTGTTGCTTTGTTTTCCAGTCCAGTATTTAAAAGATGGCTATCCGAAAGCAATAAATGAACCCAATTTAGCCTTCGGCTTACTGTTTCCCCTTTAGCAGGCGCCAGTTAATTTTTTTCCTCTCTGTATAAACTGGATTAAGGAAAAAAATATGGTTGGAGTTCAAAAGATTACCTTTTCTGACGAGCAAGTTTTGTTCTGAGGTCAGTCAGAGTCAATCAATTTGGTGAAGTGATTTACCAGAACTCCGAATTTCATGCATAAAAAGAAAATTAAACCTTCGAGTCTATTTGTGGATAACTCAGTTTTTGGGAAAAGTAATTTGCAAGGAAATCTTTCTACGAGCTTCTGAATCCGTGCGATGACGTTCATGACTCACTTTACTCCGAGCATTTCCACTTTTCAGATGTGTGTTCTGCATAGTCAGAACGTTCCAACTGAAATCGCAGAATTGAATCGGAACATCCCTGGAAATATAATGAATGATGTGAACGGCGTTGAAGTAATTTTACTTACACCGTAAAATCTCGTTAAAACGAAGCCGCTGGGACCAGTGAAATAACTTGTTATAAAGATAAAAACGTGTCTTGAAGAACCTCAAATGACGTTGTACTTATTGGACAGGGATTTAAAAATCGAAGTCTTCGTAATCAGGTATTCGTGATGAAGAGATTCTGCTGTATTTTGCATTTACACGGATGATGGTCTTTTTTCATGGGTCAGGTGGACTTCTTCGAGCAAGACACCGTGGTGTAGTTTCCTGTCGTGTAATGCAGCAATTGACCTAATGGAATTTTTTTTTCGTGTCCTTCAGGTGAAAGTGACCGTGGTTGACAAGAATGACACGCCGCCGTCGTGGGACGGACATCCGTCCGTGTTCGCCGTGTCGGAGGATCTGTCGCCGGGCCAGGCAGTGGCGACCGTGCGTGCCGTCGACGCCGACTCTGCTGGCCACATAACGTACGAGTTCGTGACGAAGGCTGGACAGAAGCCGTCGGCGAAGCCCGAAGGCACTGACGTCTTTGCTGTCGATCCGTCGCGCGGTGTCGTGAGTCTGTTGCGACCGCTGGACCGGGAGCAGAAGGCCGAGTACGCTATGGTCGTGCGAGCCAAAGACGGAGTCCAGTTTTCCGATTTCGACATCGTTATCAAGGTTTGTGAGCACATCATTATTATTGCATTTTTCAGTAGCAAGGAAAACGAATTCTACTCATTTGTTCCGATAACTGTCGGAGTTTTGTTTTGTTTTGTTTTGTGGTTGCTCATTTTCGTGGCAAACGCTGGAGATTCCGATAACATGAAATCGAAGTAAGGTGTTGTTCTTACGAAGGAACTGATATTGACATTGTCTTCTGGTTTCACCTGGAGGGTTGTCCCTTCTCGGATAAGTTTTCCTTCGCAAAAAAAAAAATCCTCGAATTGAACATTTCGCATTAATGCACTTCTATGAACTGCGCTTTTATGGAGCTGTTTTATGTGAAATTGAACTTTTTCTTTTTTAATTTGATTCGTAGAACGTTATTTTTGATGCGTCATGAAAATCGGATCGGATGTGGTTTTTTTGTTCTTCCGTTAACCTTGTTTCACGAGAAATAAGCACATTTTCTGTTTGTTTTGTAAACATTCCACGAAGAGGCGTCAAATTAGTCGTTATTCTGAAATCATCGAATCACTTTATGGTTTGTAGTATGGCACAACTTCTGGAACTGTTCCCATTCCTTCTATCCTTGTTTGTAATGTAGTAACGTTGAGTCGAGATTCATTTTTAAAAGCAGGATGCAGTGATTTTTCTCAATATTCGTAATGTAGGACAAGTGCTTTTGTTTTGGAAAACCGGGCGGCACTTAAAAGTATTTTGGATGAAGAACAAACTCATAACGGAAACCTTTCTGATATTGCTTTTTTTTTACTGATATGGCTTTTTTTTTACCGACATGGCTTTTTTACTTCCTCGGAAGTGTGTCTTCCACGAAATGTTGAATTTTATTGCGTATTTAACTACAGAATCGGATTGAATGGTCTATTTCTTTGAATTATTTATTGAAGAAATTGAAAGTAAAATTCAAGCTGCTAGTTTTGTGGCGTTTTGATGCTTTCATTTAGTGTTTTTAGTCCAGTCAAAAGGAGTTGATTAATTTTTTTGTAGAAAAACATGGTAATTATTAAAATGGAAGATCTGATAATAGACTTGTGGTAGCAGCTAGCTTTATGTTCATACCCAATATTTGCCCGCGTAGAGATCAATTCAATCCCAGCACAGTACTGTAAAATGTTGTCGAAGACGCCTGGGTAATTTGTGAGAAAACAGTTCTGCGTGGAGATTAAAGGCAATATTGAAATAAGAATTTTTCCATATTTCTCCAAGCGACGGTAGACTGCTGGAACGGAATTACTTTCCGGTTCGCGTGTTTTCAATCGAGTTCATTGAGGTTATGACTTTTTTTATGTACAGTATATAACATGATGCCATTATTTATAGGACGAATGAACGAATAGTCAAAATTTTCGTTTTACGCGTCCATTTCACTTTCTCGCAAATTTTTCCGCCGTAAAATGAAATTCAACTGACAGTTGCATGTTTTATGAGAACATTTTCAAAGAGTTCAGTGGTGAAATTGAAATAGCTGAGGTTTTTTTTTCGGGTTTCGTTCTACATTGCGGCAGCATTTTCGTTTCTTGTTCCAACTCTTGTTCTAGTGTTCTTAATCGAGTTCAGTGAAGTTATGATTTAAGGCGAAGTCTTTGCCTCGACCAACTTTCCTGACTAAATTAAATGATGGGGCCGGGCCTGGGTTGGATTTTGACAAGGGGAAGATCGTAAACGCCGCATGGTGCCCAGCTGGTAAAAACGCTTTGAACTTTTCGCAGCACTGCTTTAGTATTTTTCATTAACAAATTGATAATTGGTTTCCGTTTACGGATTGAAATGGGATCCTGATTTTAGACGCATCTATTTTCCTTTTCGAAAAGGAAGTGTATTTTGTAGCGCAAGGCGGTTTTCTGAAAGAAGAGCCGCTGTTCTTCGCAGCGTTCAGCCAAGCACCTGTTATAATTAATGTATTATTTTCTCCCTGTGCATAATTTTTGAACTTTTTCTTTTCCACTGCAACTATGTTGGGGTAATTCTAATAAACCTGGAACAAAGTTCGTTTTTCCATTTATTTAAAGATTTCCTCATAAAAGTCCGTGTTGAGGTTTTTTTTTTTTTAATATTACAGCACTTGCTTTTCAGTCTCGCGTTGAAGTACCGTGTTTACGAAGGTATATATGAAAAAATTGCAGATGAAAGAGCACCAAAAAGTAGCATTTATTGAGGTTTTGTAAGTCGATGAACTTTATTGTACTGTACAGTGAACCTCGATAACTCGAACGCCCATCAGTCGAATACAGTAAGACCTCGTTCACCATTAAAACGAATTTGGTTATAACGAATAATTGATTATCACGAATTCGTTTTTAGATCCATCTTTAATAATCACAGCGTTATTTGAGGTTCTGTGCAACGACGCTATTTTACTGGTCTCAAAGGCTTCTGGTGACGAGATTTTACTGTTCTGTACCGTACTTCCATGTGTAGAATTTTTCAAAGTCCCTTTCCGAACTCCCTTAGAAACAATGTATTGAAAACCTCCCGAACTAGAAAGATTTCGCCCCCCCCCCCTGAAGGCATTTTGGCTATTTTTTTGTGACCCGAGAAAGAGAAAAACAATGAAAATGTAATTAGAGGCCTTTTGGAAGGAAGTGAAAGATTAATTGGGGGAATGAACCCTTGCCTCGAATATTAAAAATGGTCACTAATTTCAACACTCTACAGCTCATTTTAAAATCAAAAACAGTAGTTTTCCCAATTCGAAGGCGAATTCGTTTGCTTGTCCCTTGGAATTCGACTTGGAAATGTTTAGATGATATCTGTATTCTCGTTGAGAAGAGCCTTTCATGCGATTTTCGAAGCACGTGAAGAAAATCTAAAATACTGTGCCTTCATCCATTACGTCGTTCGTTGCACAGTATTTTGGCATCAAATAAATCGAATTCTATTCACGTCGAATGCAGGTGACGGATACCAACGACAATGCACCGCAATTCGACGAGCCGAGATATTCCATCGAAGTGGACGAAGACGAGGTGCGTGGCGCTGTCGTGGGCTCTGTGCATGCCGGCGACGCTGACGAGGGAGCCAATGGATTGGTGTCATACAGTGTCATCTCCGACTGGGCCAATGACGTCTTTTCGTTGAACCCCGTCACTGGTGTTTTCACTCTCGCCTCCAGGCTCGATTACGAACAGGTGCGCATGTAGTCCGAACTAAGCTTCGTTTTTATTATTAACATATTTTCTCTGCTTGGCCTGATGGAACGCATGCAGTGAAAGTACTGTAATTGATCTCGCCGAAAGCAGAAGTAAATTTTTTGGCTGACGGAAGGAACGCGATTAAATTTTGAATAAATCTTCTAATCGGTTCACGTTTTGATTCGGTGACTTGTAGTTAATGTTTTCAGGAAATAATCTTTCACCTATAAAAAAAATCTCCTTGGGGCAGGTTCGTGTCAAAGCTACTCTCAGCCGTTTTAAAATTATAATTTCTTGACTTGCTCTTACTAATAGGCGGAAACTCGCCTTTAAGCCGAACTACGGTAACCTTATCTATCCTTTTACTGAGTTAGTGTGTCCCAAACCAACCGAAACCCAACCACGAATAAAAGTTACCTCATCAACTCGAACAAAACCGGAATCCATATGAAGCTAGCGTAATGAAACTAAGTTATTTGGCCTTACGTGTAACGAACCTGGCCAATTGAACTTAACGTCACTCCGAACTAACCTAGAATCGCATCCAACCAACACCATTACTTAGCCTTAAACCGAAATGATCTAAAACTAAGCTTACCTTACCTCATGTGACACTAACCTCACACCTGACGACCTGAGTAACCTTGCAAACCCGAAGTCAATGAGTGAATACTCAAATCTAACACTAAACCATGCTCTGGACTATTTCGACATTCTTTCTGGATCGAACCTACAAAACTTATGCTAATCTGATCCCGTATTACCTTCACCTTTCATCAGATCAACAGAATCTAAAGCCTAACTAAGTGAAGCGCGACTCAGGGTCAGCCTAACCATACGGGAATCAAAGCCCAGTTGAGAAAACTATCCTAATGAATGTACAGTTCTTCGAGTGTTAGTTGCGGCACTTTGACGCAGAAGCTTTGCTAGTGTTGCCACCACAAACAGCCAACTTTTTAATGCCTACTCCCAATTGAATAATTTTCATTGAATAAATTACGAACAAGAAGATTCCTCTTTTTTTCGTGAGCTGATCAAAAACTACAAGGAGACTCATTCTACCACGGTTTTGTTTCCAAAGATTTTCTCTGTATAGTTGGACTACCTCTACAACGAAATTCAAGAGACCAGGAAAAAATTCGTTGTGGAGAGAATTTCGATGTAGAGAACCCCTACAACATTAGTAATCTTATGGGACCAAAAAAAAATCGTTATGCAGAGGAAATCGTTGTAGGGAGAATCTGCCTGTCTAATCATTTTTGTGTGCGCTCCCATAGGCATAGTGTTCTCTAAAACTCTTTTTTTTTCTGGTCTGGTCCCCTGGATTTCGTTGTAGAGAGAGAGTTCACCTGAATTAATTAAAAGAAGACGGGAGAAAATGAAGGATTCCCGTTATTTCAATGGATTCTATTCCGAGTTGCAGGCCGTTCGTCCCAGATAGCGATAAGAACCCGTGATATAGAATGTAACCGCCTACTCAACACGATGCAATTCCGTGACCCGATGTAAATGGACTTTTCATGTAGTCACCTTCGTTCCGCCGATTTTGTGTTTTGCCTTTGATGCGAGATGACGGGAATGGTCCAGGGCGGATTCTTCGATTTTTTTTGTGTGGTTCGTTTCGGTATTCCTTCCTTTCTAGTACTGTACAGTAAACTCAGAAGGGATTCAGCATTATTAGAAAGAAAAAAAGAATCAAATCTCGTCAACCGGTTCGTTCTTTTCTATGTTTGAAACAAACAGGTTCAGCACTACATATTCGTCGTTGAAGCCAAGGATGCCGGGACGCCGAGTTTGTCAAGCACCGTCAGCGTGTATTTCAACGTCATGGACCTCAATGATAACGCGCCGGTCTTTGATCCGATGAGTTTCAGCGACCGGGTGTACGAGAACACCACTGTTGGTGCTCCTGTGCTGACGGTTGCTGCAACTGACCAAGATTCTGGTGAGTCTTTTACATTGCATCATACTCTGCAGATGCGCCATTTTTAAAGACCAGGGAATCTAAGAAGTTTTTGCGATTGCGTCGGGGGTTTCTGAGACGTGACGCGTCGAGACGCGACCCGTTGCGAATCTTTGACCCCACGGTTTTTGCGCAATCCACTATATATAATGCATTATTTCGATTTGCACGAAAAATAACGTAAGCGGAAAATTATGCGGCTCCCAGAACGGCGCACATTTAAGATAGTGCGTGACCGAAACAGCGCTGGTTCAGAATGGCACATTCTCAAAGCATCGGATAATACCGGAAGCAGTGCATACAGGACCTTACTTCAATGCATCCTCAAAACAGCATTTTATCTAAGCCGCACTTCCTGAAAATATCTGCATTACAATTTATGAGATGTTAAGCACTTGACAGCACTTGTGCAGAACAGTTTCTTAGTGTCAGACAATCCGTCGTTTTTATTTTATTTTTTATTTTTTGGTACGTTATTCACGTTAAAAGCTTCGGTATACGAGGTGCAATGCTCTTTTTTTCATGACGAAAATGAGTGTGTCCTTTTTAATTATGTAATGCTTATCATATTTTCTGACGTTTTTCTGTGCTTGCGTGGTTTTTCCGTCGCAAATTTTGTCGTAATTTTGTAGAAAGTCACTGTTCTCGGTCAGGAGAATAATTGCGAATGTTTTGCATTTTGCGATGATAGCTTTCCTTGAGAAGCTTGCCTTTTTAATACTTTTTTTCGCTACTGAACTGAAAAAAAATGAGGTTTTCACTTGAAAATCCTCGTGATTGAACTTTCTCGTACTTCGCTTCGAGGGTAGTTTCGAACCGACCTTGATAATGTACTAGGTATTAATAGCTGTCCATTTTCCCCCTTTCACGAATACAGGGCTGAATGGGAAGCTCGAATACACGCTGGAAGAGGAAGGTGATGAGAATGATCCTACGTTCGGAATTCATGGCGAGAATGGAACGATTTTCACCCGAAAGGAGTTGGATAGAGAGAGAAGATCGACTTACAATCTGGTCGTCATCGCAACTGATTTATGTCCAGATATCGACGCCAGGCTTTCCTCCAGCATTCAGGTTTGTGAACTTTTCATTCCTTCTCCGGTCATTTTTCACGAAGGATTTTGACGAGCGGACTCCGTGTCTAATGCCGAGGAATGAATGCGAATACTGTATCCATATTGAATCAAGTACCACGCGCACCTTTTTCCCAAATTCCAGAAAAAAAGGGGGGTGCACGTCATACTCGGGTGTACATTTTTTCAAGAAGTTTTAGAAAGTTATGTGTGCGTTATACTTGATATGCTAATGGAGGAATTTTCGAGTAAGCCTAACAAAAAAGCTTATTTTAAAAATGAAAATTGGTCAAATTTATGTTTAATTCATGCCTGAATTCGGATTTGGCTGTTCGTATTTTTGAAATTTTGCAGTTTTTAGAGTCACTAAAAATTGGGTCTTACTCGCGGGTCTTACATCGCGTCTTACTTGGAGATAGAATTTGACCAACATTTTCAAGTGAAAAAGCCTGGTGCGCGTCTTACTTGAGTAAATACGGGTATTTTTGTACATCATATTTGACGAAATTCATCTCGTGTACAGTATTAAAGTCTAGAAGGATTCAAGGAATCTGCCCAATAACCGTACACGGGGCTCGTGGCACTTTATTGTTCTCATGTTAAAAATAAAATTAGAATTATAATGGAGGGGTTTAAATTAATCCAGTACGAAGCCCGTCGCGGTCGAATCTTGCATAAAATCTACGGCGGTAACCGAAGAAGCTGACCATGTAAAATTGGGGCGCTGAGCTGCATGTAAACCTAAATGATTTTTGTTTTGTTTTTCAATGGTTGTACCTGCGGAATTAATTTCTTCCCTTGTCTGAATTGAGATCCTGCATAAAAAAATAAGTATTATCGAAACGCATATGTGAAAAAAGACAAAATGCTTACAGGTACAGTATTCGTATTCTGTCCGATATGGACTTGAGCTTATCGGGGGCATTTTTAATGTTCAAGTAAAAAGAACCAAGAATTCGGGATGCAGCAATGGAATATGAACTGCATGCATGAAATGTTTTTGTTTTCATTTTGTGAGTGAGGTTAATTAAAAAAAAAACGCAAAGTTGATTTGGTATATTTTGTGGAAGGAGGAATTTGACTTCGTAACAGCAATATTTCTCCTGAAGTGAGGTAGTGTCTTTAAATAGAACGAACTGCACTTTATTTGTATGGAAACCTGGTAAAACCATTCATTTGATCAATCTTCATCAGCGACATCCAACATTATTGCATATTTTTATGTTCTGATTTGTATATCAGAAAAAATAATATACTGTTGCGTCTGAAATTTTTGTGGTTCCCCCGTTTTGTGCATGTGTGCAGAAATGTTCGTGAACTCCGATGCAGAGGAAGCAAAGCAGATTGCACACCTCGTAATTTTGGCTAAAGCAAGGATATTTTTTCTTTAATGAATTTTTTTCAGAATCTTTTGGGTAGTTCCGATGTAATCAGTAGGATCATTTCTGATCTCTTTTCGCCCGTCGAATCAAAATTTTGGCTGCTGGTATACAGGCAAGGGAACCCAGTCGTTGGCCCTTGCTGTCAAAGTTTCGCAGTGCGATATCATAATTTGTTTTGCACCGTTTCCCTTGGGTATGAACAGGTAACGATTATAGTGGAAGATGTTAACGACGTTGTGCCCGAGTTCGTCGGCCCCACCGTTGGCTCTGTCACGGAAAACGCTCCTCCGAACACCGTCGTCATGGCAGTCAAAGCCAAAGACGCAGACGAAGGTCGAAACAGCTACGTTGAATACTTCTTGGAACGCGGAGTCGGGTCGGAAAAATTCGAAATGGGTGCAGTCGACGGGCTCATTCGGGTTCGAGGTTCACTCGACAGAGAGGCGACCCCGTACTACCGCCTCGAAATCGTTGCTCGGGACCGCGGAAGTCCGTCGCTGTCGGCGTCCACGACGGTGACGGTCCAAGTGCTCGACGCCAATGACAACGCGCCCATGTTTGATCCGAGGCACTACTCGGCTACGGTGCCGGAAAATGCGACGATCGGCCTGAGTGTTTTGCAGGTCTCTGCGACTGATTTGGACTCTGAACTGAATGCTAGGATTCGCTATGCGATTGTGGATGGGGATGCCTCGAGGGACTTCATGATTGCTGAGGACAGTGGAGTGATTCGCGTTGCGAAGACGCTGAATTTCGAGAACCATCCCCACTACGTGATCACTGTTCAGGCTGAGGATTCCGGACAAGAGGTGAGAGAAAGAGGAACTGCAGTTGAACCTTCACAACTCGAACCTCCCTAAGTCAAATGCATCCCTTTGTCAGTTTATTTTTGAGTCCCTGTCTGAATTCCCATAGAAACTATCAAACAAAATCATCCGTACCTTAAGAGCTTTCCCTTTCAAAACATTACTAGAATTTTCTGGCGGCCTTTTGGCTATCATTTTATTGACGCAGGAAAGAGAAGAGCAATAAAAACGTAACTTCATATGTTTTTAAAGGAAGTGAAAGACGAATTGGTCAAATGAACCCTTGCCTCAAAGTTCAGCATCAGCATGTCAACTCATTTAAGAAGCAATTTAAGGCCCAGAACATATCCAAGAACAATTCATTGTAATTATCTTTTATTCAAAAAAATATCTTGGTCCCCCAACTCGACATCTCCATAACGTGAAATTGTTTCCTGTTCCCCTGATGTTCGACTTGAAGAGGTGCAACTGTACAAAGATGCTGAATCTCGGGGCGCACCATTATTATTATTTTTCAAAGAATGTGACCTATTTCGTGCGGTTCACTCGTCTCACAGAATATCTAGAATATCTTTCTATGAATCTATATACAGTACTGTATATGAAAGAAATGATCTCATCTGAATCGAAAAATTAAACATACGATTTGAGATGAATAAGTGAGAGAAAATGTATCGACTGTTTTCTCCAATTACCGTTTTCTGAGTAACATCGTACAGTAATTCAATTTCTCGCAGGTTGAGTTTACAGTACAGATACGTAAAATAGAAACCAAAAGTGACCCATTTTTTTACAACCGTCTTTTACGAGCATCGCGTTCATGGGTCTATTATTTTTTAATTTGTTCCGTATTTCGTCCATCTGGGGCAAATTGAGTTCTAAGCAAATTTGATAGCATTTTGGATTCGCTAGAAAACTTTCACTGTATCCAGCTTGAGGGGCTGGTTCGTAATGCTAGAATTTCCGAACTCCTCTTAAATAGTAATCCTCTGGTTTCGGGGTGAGTGATGGTATCTGTTCTTGAATACAAAGATATCGAATACAATTCCATGCCCAGGGAAAGGTGCGGTTCAGACCAATGGATTTCACCGTTCTTTCACCCGATCGAAATGTCGCGATACTCATCGTCTGACCGTGACGTTCTTCACTTGTTTCGTTTTAAGGTTATGTATGATTCAGCGACAGTTAGCATTACGGTTACCGACATGAACGACAATGCCCCGCTGTTCCTGGATTCTCCTTACGTGATCTACGTGAGAGAACAAGATGTGGATTCCAAGCGTTCCTTCTCGGAAACGGACGCAAGAATCGGCAGAGTAACTGCTTATGATGCCGATGGACCACCGCATAATCGAATTACGTACTTGTTGAAGGATGGCGACAAGGTGAGCATTTTGTTCTGCGGAATTTTTTGTGCTGTTAGGTTTGTAGTTGAGAAAAGTAGCATACATCTTGTGACTGGGGAGAAAATCACAGTAAATTCTCGTTTATCCGTGCTTCAATTAAACGTGCCACAAATAGGTTTGTTAATAATCTTTGTACTTTGCGTCGCCAACTGGATTTTTCTCACAATATTGTACCAGGGAACGTTTTTGGGCAGTTCATTTTTAGTACGCTCGGTGATCGCAGAATTAAAAGCTTTGAAAATTTGCGATCAATAACACGGAAATGCTGTTGAATTCCAGCACGGATGTGTGTGTATTCATTATTGAAAGGTTCACTTGTATTTTCAAGGTTGATTCTCTTAGTTATGTTGCTTTCACTCTCTATAGATGCATTCCACTGACATCAATTTTTTAAAAGCATGTCTTCGCATTAAATTCTGCCAGGTGTGGTATATATTTCTTGGGCATTGTTTCGAGTCACTATCTTCCTATCTTTGAATGACAGGAAACTTGTCATAACTGTTTCTGGTGAATTGTATTCTTCGAATTCACGAAGGTTTACAGTCACAAATCTTGTTATTTCAAGATTTCCTTTTTGCCAGGGTTGATCTTCATTGATGAATGTTTTTTTTCTCTCATCGCAGGATAAGTTTGCCATCGACATGAATAACGGCGAAATCAAGCTGAAGTCCGGCCTGGATCGAGAAACTCAATCGGATTACGAGCTCGTGATTGCTGCCATGGACTCAGGAACACCGCGATTGACAGGCACTGGCACCGTTCGCATCATCGTCACTGACATCAACGACCACGGACCCGTTTTCGACACAATCCGTTACGTCGCACGTGTTGCAGAAAACGCGCCGATTGCCACATCAGTCGTTTCCATTCGGGCCAAGGATGCTGACGACGGGCTCAACGGCCGCGTGGTTTATTCATTGTTGGAGAACGAGGGGAAGTTCGGAATAGATGAAATCACGGGTATTGTTGTGACGACGGCGGAATTGGATCGGGAAGAAAGAGACGAATACGCTTTGGTCGTGGCTGCGTCGGATTCAGCATTGTCAGACTCGAGGACATCCTACGCGAATTTGACGGTCGTCGTGACGGACGTTAATGACAATGCGCCGAAGTTCTTGAGTGACGTTGCAGTCGCTCGAGTTCCGGACCCATTGGAACAAGGTGAGCTTCTGAGCTGCTGTTCTGTATTCCTTCAAGGAAAAAAAAACTATAGATATGCTACCGTTTGAATGGAGTCTATTTTGTCCGATTGTATTACACTTCATGTCTTCCTCAAACGATATGGAAGGAGGAAAAATCTTGCGAGCTGCGGCGTGTAAACTGCTTCAATTGAGAACGAGTGCAATCGCTGCTCAAGCCCCAGGAGAATTAAGCTTAGGCTAGCTGTAATTATTTGAACTGGTCAATAAATTGGGTAAGGAATGTAGTTGAGTAAATACATGAGAGTACAGTAAGGGAATTTAGGAATTGAACGATTTATGAGGTAGCGCAGAGTGAGTAAGTAGAACTCGTGAATAAAAATCAGTTTTTTTCGTAAGACAGTACTAACTCTTCTACTTTCGTGAAAGACTTGCCAATACGAATGTGCTCTGATAGGAATAATTACATCCTTAAAAAAAAAGAATATAATTTTTTGAAAGACAGCGGATGCTGTTTCTGATGTCCGGCCTGCTTTTATACTGTCTTTAATTTTTCAAAATTTATGGAGAACTGTATTTCTTGCCATGCGCAGTGAAACAATGCAAAATTTAATGAGCCAGGAGAAGAACGGACTTGAACTTGTACAGGGTTCAAGATTACATATATGGAATAGTTTTGGATTTCATGAGATAAACCAAAAAAAAATTGCTTTCAAATTTTTATGGCGACGATAATATCTTACTACTGAGAGACATCGCATTGCCAAGGATCCGTTTTGTAATCAAAATTTGTTAATTTAATTTCTTTCATCTTAATATTTGCAGGAACATTCGTGTTTGGCTGCGAGGTTGTTGATGCCGATGCTGGTGAGAACGGGACGATGTTTTATTACTTGGACGGCCCTGATGCGGACTTGTTCACTGTCAACGAAGACACTGGAATCGTCACAGCTGCTCGCAAACTAACCTCGCTTCAGAACGGCAAAAAGTTCTCCTTTGACCTCGTTGTCGCAGACAAAGGGGAACCCGGACTTACATCCGTGCGGACAATCGACGTGTACCTGCACCCGGGGTCAGAGTTCCCGGAATGCGACGAATTCCCCGACACTGTCAGTTTCTCCGAAGACGAACCCATTGGTACCAAAGCCGGGAAAACGCGCGCGAAACCCAAGTCTGGGGACAGAGCCTCGTTAGCGTACCGGATAATTGCGGGCAACAATGACCGCTCTTTTGCCGTCGATGCGACTAATGGAGAAATTTTCGTGAGCAACCGACTCGACCACGAATCCCGAGCTTTTTACGAGTTGTGGGTTGAGGCTCGTGACAGCGGTTTGGACCCGCAGCTTGGTACTGTTGTCAGACTTGCGGTCAATGTCACTGATGTCAACGACAACGCTCCGGTGTTCGAGGAGTTTGTTTACAACGCTGCTGTCATGGAGGTAATACTCGTGAAAATTATTTAAGGTTTTCTGGAGCTCTGAAACATGCGAGACACGCTAAACCAGAGGTTCTCAACTAGTGGTCTTACATAAGAGCCCTTGAAAAATTTGGAAATTTGTCGGGCTTTGCGCAACTGCTGCAGGATATTATTGCGTAGAGAAATGAGTATAATGAGACAAACTTTCCAAATAAAAGTAATTCACTTTCATAGAGGACGTTCATTAATATGAGCTGGCTTCAGAGTTATGATGGCCACATTTTTTTTTTCAAGTGCAATAACTTATAGTAAAAACGGACGAAATAAATTTCCTGCAGTGCTCCACTGTAGAAATATATGTTCAAAACGTGCTACGCGAATTAAAAAAAAAAATTGGCGTGCTCCCCTAATGCAAACCTTTTGGTGTTCAAATTGCACATTATTCTGCGATTCTACGTGATTGTTCGCTGACAAAGGAATGACAATTTGAGAAATTTTCAATTTTTGAGCAAATCCTAGCTTCAATCGGAGCTAAGATTAGATTCACTTCTTGTGAAGGAAATGCCAATTTATTCGCGTTTTTAGGATATTCCCGAATCGATCCATTTCTGTCCGTCGAATTAGCAGATTTGCGTGCGAATAAATTGCAAAATGATTTCATTTTTATGAATTCGTTTACAGGCGGAAGCACCACCAAAATTGGTTGCCAAAGTTTCTGCTGTGGACGCGGATACAGGAGAGAACAAGCGTGTCACTTACAGGATTGACGATAGATCCGCGTCTGTATCACCAATATTCGAAATCGATCCAGTTTCCGGCGAGATCCATTCAAAAATTGAGCTGGATCGTGAAAGAGTAGACAAATATTCTTTCGTCGTTGAAGCTGTGGACCATGGAGATCCGCAGAAGACTGGCACTTCGGTCGTCGTGGTCACAGTCGTGGACAAGAACGATAATCCGCCGAGGTTCACTCGATTGTTCAGCGTCAATGTGACGGAAAATGCGCCGATCGGGACGTTCGTTATTCAGGTTAGAACCAGATAATCATTTTTCTATTCGGATGTGGGTTCTTTGTTTGAGATTTAACAAGCTGAATTGTCAATTGATTCCTAGTTGTTCTGAGCACACCGGTTAGTTCAAAGCGTGCAGTATTTAGTTTTTGAAACGATTTTCCTGAGCTGTATTTTTAGTGTGACTTTTTTGCGAAGAAATTGATTCATGTTTGTTTCATGCGTTACGACCCAGCAGAAACCTGTGCAGTAAAAGATGCAAACATATTCTGAGCTGGCTGACATTTTTAGTCCACGTGACGAGATGTCCCTAAAGTGTCTTTTATCATGATGCCTTTTTTTTCGGTTTGATGATATGTTTGTATGAACATTTAATTTCACACTGAGTCATTGCAAGTTCAAACTGTTGCTGGATACTTGATGAAGTAAGCTGGAAGTATTGATGGGGTTCTTGGATGAACTAAAAAAAATTCTATTCTTGGCATCCTTGATGGTTTTAAGATTTACTTCATAGATATTTTCGGGTTCTTTATCGATATAAGATGCCTTCATAGTTGTTACTTTTATATTGCGCCGCAATTATTTCTGAACATCAGCTCAATCGATATTAAAACCCTGCGGTCAGTTCAAATTTAAAGTTAAATATAATTTTTGAGATATTTTTGAGGCTCGAGTCAGTTGTTGGAGTTTTTCTTGACTTATTTATGACGTTCCACTTTCATTTTAATTGATATACAGTATATTTCTCTCAGTCTGACGCAGTTTTAAATTCCTTCAAGCATGTGAGAGGCTGTAAATTCAACGTGAGTGTTGTATCGAATTTTCAGGTGACCAGTTCGGACAAGGATATCGGAGCAAACGGCAATGCGACGTACAGCTTTACCGAGAATCCCGGCGGGAAATTCCGCATCGACGGGGCGTCGGGCAACGTCACAGTCGCAGCTCCGATCGATCGCGAAGCCCGTGCTGAATACTCACTCAAGGTGTCGGCCGTCGACGGATCTTGGCGTGCAGAAACACCGCTCACTATCACAGTGCTCGACGAAAACGACAACGCACCAGTGTTTGAGTCGCCGCATTACGCCTTTAGCTTTCCGGAGACTGACGCAAACGTCACGGACGTGTCGAAGCTGGTTGTCGGCGTCGTGCGCGCCACCGACAAGGACAAGGCAGGGCCTAATTCTGCCTTGTCCTACTCGTTGAAGCATCCCTCTGACTTTTTCGCCGTTGATCCCGGCACTGGGAGAATATTCCCGAAACGTGCCGTCGTCTTCGAAGGTATGAGTTTATCTCCGTTCGTTTAAAAATGGGAAAATAGAAAGAACAGGGAAGAATTGAACTCACCGTATTTACTTGATGCATCCTAATTTTGGTTAGCCAGCCCTTCAGGAGGAAAAATTGTACTGATCACGACCTTTTTCAAAATGTGGCCAGAAATTCAGTCAGAAACGAGCATTTTTTTTCTTTAAGAATCATAATGAATCATTTGCTTTCGACCTTCATTTGCTTAGAAGTGCTGTTCCACTGGATACTTAAGCTTTTCTCTTCTGGAATCCCAGCATTATTTTTTTGTGTTCTTGAAACGGCGGCATTGAGAAGTGATTTTTTATGATCGATACATTGAACCGCTTTTCAATATTTTTTCATATGTATTCTTTTTTTGCTGTAGGTGGCGCAACATCTTCTCCCGAAAATGAATACAGCGTGCAAGTCGTCGCTGTAGATCAGGGTAAGCCGCCAATGTCCAGTGAATGCACAGTCGGAATTACGGTTGTCAAGGCAAACAAAAGTCCGCCAAAATTTTTGCGAGAAGCCTACTCCAGCCCTGTCCCAGAAACAGCGTTGTTCGCTCAACGCGTCGTGCAGATCAGTGCAGTGGACGCCGACTTCAACGCGATTGACAGCGACAGGATGTCTGACGAGGTAAGCAGTCGGGATTTTCTCTTGCAGGATAGTTTGACCGTTATGGTGATTCTGATTTTATCAATTCGAGAAAAAGAAAAAAATACTATTTCTTTCCGTTGAAAAGATTGTCTTCACGCCGCAACACGCTTGTTCATTGCTGTCTTTGTTTCTACGCATTTATTTTCACGATAGTTAAATATTCCGCTTGAGAAAATTATCTGTTGACCATTGTTGATTCGAGGACTAACTTTCACAAAACTCCGAAATCGGGATTGTGACCTCTGGAACATTTTACCCGAGGAAACGTGCTGGCAATATACAGTAGTTCGTGAATCAAGTGACACCTACCTTACCCTCCAGGAAGCAAGGTTAAGCATTGGAAGAGAAGAATCGTCCCGTGTTTCCCCGTGGACCAGTAATATTTCAGGGGCACGATGTAACTGTTGTATATTCGCATACCTTGGAAAAATAGCAGCGAGCCAAGAGGATTAATCAATTTTGCGTTTTTCTTTCAGGGGGAAGACACAGGCGTGACTTACGAAACGGTCGGAGGCAACGGGACGCAGTTGTTCGGAGTGGAAGCAAAATCTGGTTGGATAGTGACCTCACAGCCGTTACTAGGGCGTCGCAACTCCGTCTATGATCTCGTGGTTCGAGCCACCGACAACGGAATTCCACCTTTGTTCACGGAAGTCCGCGTCACTCTTGTCCTCACTGGCCAAAACCGCTTCGCCCCGGTATTCACATCAACGCGCCCCTACGTCGTCGCTGTCGAAGAAAACGCTGCTTTGGGTAAACCAATCGTCACACTAACAGCAACGGATGACGACGGAGCTGACAATCTGAACGGAGCCGTGCGGTACTTCATTTCTGCCGGAAATGAGCGCGGGAAGTTTGCCATCAATGCGCGTTCGGGCACGATTACTGTCGCCGAAAGCCTGGATTACGACGCAATTTCTCGATATGTCATCAACGTGACAGCAACGGACTCGGGCTTTTTACAAAACTCGGCTGAAACTGCTGTGATCGTCAGCATCGTTGACGTCAACGACAACGCGCCCGTTTTTGTCAAGGGAAACTTCGAATTTCATATCGAAGAGAATTTCGGTGCGGATGTTCTGGTCGGGAAGGTGGAAGCGCGAGATGCGGATTCAAGCCCATTCAACGTCATTCGATACTCAATCAAGGTTCGTTCTATTTTTATTTTACTTGAGCAGTATCTGAGCTTCGTAATTTTGCTTTTGCTACTCGGAAATTCTGAAGTTGTGAATAATTTTTGTGCTAAAATGTCGTTCTGTACGCACCATAAAAAATAAAAAAATCACGAAGAAACCCTATAAAACATTTTAAATCTTTATGTCGGTGTTTCAACTTCGTCCGTCGCAATTGCGTATTTTTTAACGAGGGTGAAAGTCATTGAACGTTATAACCTCATTTAAATTGTGCACCGATCTATAAAATTAGTTCCTTCTGCTCCTGGCTGCATGTGTCTTGTGTGAAAGTGAACAATACTGAAGTGCCTAATATTTTTTGTTAACGATTCATCGAGGGCACATTTTGCAAAACGGTGTATTTGAATGACAGTGCAGTAGTTACTTTTTGAGCTTTGTAGACTTACTCGCCGATACCTAGGTCGTATTGTACTTATTTGTGCGTATCTCCACGATATACGAATAGAATGATTATGCACATGAAGCAAGCCTTTTGGACGCCCCACTTAAAATTCACTTTTATGTTTTAGGATCAGAAGGCAAAGGAAAGTTTCAAAATCAACCCAGAAACTGGGGAAATTTATGCAACGAAATCCTTTGATTATGAGGAAACGTCGAGGTTCGATTTTCTCGTCACCGCGTGGAATCCTGACGCTCCGGACACAATGGTCAGCTCGTCCACCGTTGCTGTTCTCATCACCGGAGAGAACGAGTTCTATCCTAAATTCGTCCAGCCATCATTTCACTTCACAGTCTCTGAGTCGGCTCGTATCGGCGAAGTGGCCGGGAAGGTTCGGGCAGTCGACTCAGACGCCGGCGCAGACGGTCAGGTGTACTACCTGCTCGTGGGCTCCAGCAACGACCGTGGATTCTATGTGGAAAAAGACAGTGGCAATGTCGTGGTGTCACGTCGATTGGACCGCGAGATACAGAGCAGAGTTGTTCTGACGGTGCTGGCGAAGAATGGTGGTTCCATCTTGGGTAATGACACTGACGAAGCTCAAGTGGTCGTGTCCATCGAAGATGGCAACGACCCACCGGCTTTCACGCGCGAGATATACTCGAAGACGCTTCAAGAAGACGCAGACGTGGGCACTGTGGTTCTAGCTGTGAAGGCTGTTGACAAGGACGTGAACCCGGACAACAACCAGTTTACTTACACTATGCTCAAGGGCAACGTGGATAAGGCATTCAACATCCACCCGATCTCCGGCGTTGTGCAGCTCGTCGGGAAGCTGGATAGAGAGACGACGCATGAGTATGACCTCGTCGTCGGAGCCGTAGATACCGGAAACCCACCGGAAACCGGAACAGCTACTGTGAGGATTGTGGTGGCGGATGCAAACGACAACGCACCGGAATTCGACACGCAGGAAATTTTGGGTTACGTAACGGAAAATCGTCCGGCTGGGACATCGGTTTTGGTCTTGAGACCGTTTGATCGAGACGGAGATAAAAACGGGGCTCCGTTTACGTTCAATGTGGTTTCCGGGGACGATGACGTGTTGGCTGTGAACCCGAGAACTGGAGTTGTGAGGACAGCGAAGGTGTTGGATAGAGAGGCCATTGCAGAGTTGAGGATCGACGTTCAGGTGAGTCATTTTGTAATTATTTACAGCAATGATTCGAAAAATCAAATTTAATTGCGGAAAAGAAAATAACTAAGTTCCGACGCTTATTTCAATGATTGTAGATCATTCAGAAGTTCTGTAAAAAAAAGCTATCTGATTCATAACGTTTGTTCCATTGTTTTCGGTCGAAGCTGTAGAAAATGGAATCAATAAATGACGAAAGCCATACGCTAATTTTTGGTCTGTACTGGTATTCAAAATGTTCATACTAAATTACCATATTGAAGTTATTGTAGCGTGTCTTTTTACCGAAATGACCAGCAGTCAGTTGTTAGAGTGTTATCGCGTAAAACAGATCTGATTTTTCCTCGGCACATCTTGAGGAAAAATCATTGCAGGCTTGACCGAAGCAATTGAAAGATTAATTTTAAATGATTCAAATCATTTGTTTCGAAGCAAATCACGAACGAAAATGTCTTTGATTCATGCAGGTTGAGGATAGCGGATCGCCGCGTCTCAAGTCGGTGTATCCCGTCAAAGTTCAAGTTCTTGACGAAAACGACACTCCCTCCACGCCAAGATCATTAGATGTTCGAGTCTTTTCATTGGGTGCAGCATTCCCTGGTGGCAAAATCGCTGATGTTCGACCTAACGACGCCGACTCTACTGGGAATTACAATTGCCGTCTCGTCAGCAACGCACCGCGACTGCGGATGTTCTCAATTCCATCTGGCTGCGACCTGCACATGTCGACTGTAGACACGGACGTGGCTCAAAGGTTATCGATTATTGGAAACGATGGTCGTCACCCAGATGTCACTTCAAGCGTGAACGTAAAATTCCGTTCGCTACCGACGACGGTGCTGCCCCAAAGCTCGACGCTTCGCATCACAAACATCACGTCAACAGAGTTTTTGGCCAAATTTCACGACGCGTTCGTAGATGTCGTGCAAAACATCCTCGCGTTTGGGCAACAGCTCTTGGTGTTCTCTGTCGTAGACCGCACGGACAGCGGCGTGTCTGAAGTACGCGTCAGTGTCAGCGTCGAGTCGGCGGAAGGCTTCAGTTCTCCGTCCAGAGCCTTGTTGGACACGAAACATCGCTTGGCACAGCTATTTGGTGCCAAGCGTTCGCTGACCTTAGACTATGATCCGTGCCGGAAAAACCCGTGTAAGAACGACGGGGCTTGTGCTGTCACTGGCGTTGACGGGGTGCTGAAAAGTGCCTTCAGTCCGAGTTTGGGATTAACGGGGCCTGAAGTTGCCAAGGACTTCACGTGTCAATGCCGAGCCGGATTCGAGGGAAAAGTTTGTGACATCCGCAGAGACCCGTGTTTCCCCAACCCGTGCTTGTTCGACGGAGTTTGCTCTGGTGAGTGACTAAACATATTACATGAAAAAGTTTAGTTGCACAAGAAAAAATGTAGAATTATCGTCTAGAAAATATTATTTATTTTCTCAACTGCGTAGCATCAGAAGTTGTGGGATCCCAAGAAAAGTCTTCTTAATGTAATGAAACCTTCTGGGAAAATATTATTTATTTTCTCAAGTGCGTAGCATCAAAAGTTGAGGGATCCAAGAAAAGTCTTCTTAATGCAATGAAACCTTCGTAATGGTGAAACTTTGCCTTATTGCTTCTGCCAAACTCAAGTTCTGAATTTTTTGAAGTAGAATTTTTTTTATGAACTGCCGAAATTGTTGAGTGGAATTCGCAGTTCTGTGAGTTTAGCAGTTGAGATAAATCTGTTCCGATTTTTGCAGGAGACCGATCAACATCCGAGTTCACCTGTCGTTGTCCGGAAGGACGTCAAGGGAAGCGGTGCGAAAAGCGCAAAAGAAACGCTTGCGAAGAAGAAGAACCGTGCAAAAACGGTGGTTCGTGTCGGACGACGGATGACGATGCCGGGTTCTTCTGTTTGTGTCGAGCAGGCTACAGAGGTCGCAGTTGCGAGGTGACATCTGAAAGTTGTCGACCGAATCCATGTCTGAATGGAGGAACGTGCATGGACTTGAAGCCTGGCTACAAATGTCAATGCGCTCCAAATTATTTCGGCGCTCACTGCGCGGAATCCTCCTTCGGATTTTCCTCCTTATCATACATGACGTTCGGAAGTTTAGATGCTACCACCAACGACGTGTCGATCACGTTTTCAACGAACAAGCCAAATGGGCTTCTGCTCTACAACTTCGGATTGCAAACTGGTGGACGGTGAGTTTTAGTGCAGCTCGAGCTCTAAAAATCCGTCAAAAATTTTTTCCGTAGAAACGTGTTTTAAAATTTTTGTTCACGAAACACGAAAGTCGATCAATGCTAGCTACTTTTTGGCGTAGAACTGGATTGTTATTTTCTCCCTGGATACTCAAGTCCAATCTCCCGTTCATCAATACTTGATCATTACTGTACTTCATATCATTAAAAGGAACCAATCGTGAATCAAAATTTGTTTGCGAACGAATCTTGCCCCATAAAATTGTTCTAGAAAATTAATGTTAGTCAATCGAGGTCCTGAGGGGACGAGGGAAGTTTGAATTCAAAATTTATGTTCCTATTTCGAATATGTTCGTACAATTGTTGGGTCTTATTAATAATTTTTCTACAAAATTAATGTTTATCAATCGAGGTCCTAATGGGGTGAGGGAAGTTTAAAGTCAAAGTTTCTGTTCCGATTTCGAATATGATCGTACTGTTTCAGTGTCTATTATGTTCTGTTAGCAGCGTAAATTGATTTTTGTTTTGTTCCTCGCTTTTCGGCTGTGTGCTGGTGTGTGTAGTTGCTGACACCACTATACTTGCATGTCGCAGAAAAAATTATTTCACCTAATATTCATTCTAATCATAATTTTTTTCGTTTCAAAGGTCGGACTTCGTTGCTGTTGAAATTGTGGGAGGAAGACCAAGGTTTTCCTATGGAGGTGCTCGAACAGCCATATCCTCGATCGCGTTGGAAACGTTTGTCGCCGACGGTCGTTGGTATAAGGTGACAGCGACTAGAAACTCTCGCGTCATGTCCTTGAGTGTTGGTAATTGCTCGCATGAGGCCGGGGCATCTCTGGTGTGCCGCGAGTGTCGAGACACTGGCTGTTACGTTGATGATACCGGAACGATTGGGTGAGTGGAATATTTTTTTCAGATTTTCTCAGGAACTCTGCTAATTTTTGTTCTTCTGCTTTCTTCCCTTCAAAAACAAAATTAGCACGTTGAATTTCAACGGGAAACCGTTGTTTGTCGGAGGCGTGGATAGCATGGCGCATGCTCGAGAACGACCCGGTCAGATCCTCGCTGATGACTTCGTGGGCTGCGTGGAAAGTCTTATGATCAACGGACGCTCTTTGAATTTGTCTGCACCGACGGCGTCTCGCGGCATCAGTGACACGTGTAATCGACGTCAGGTCTGCTCGGGTGGCGACTCAGATCCCTGTGCCCCGCGCGGGGTCTGTCTCGACCACTGGGACAGAGCTGTGTGCAAATGCGACAATGGACTCACAGCGCCGGATTGTGGAGATGCTTTCCGACCGATTTCTTTGGCTGGAAACGGATTCGTTGAATTCAAGGTATGCATTAGGTCTCCCCACAGATTGCACAGAATAGATAACATGCGCATTGAAAAAAATTGAATCCAGTACAGTATGTCGCCTTGTCTTCAAGACAACATTTGCGGTATGAATTAACCGCGAGTGGTTAAAATTCGAAATGAAAAATTTCAGAAACTGAATGCATCAAAACTGAATTTACACTAAATCACCGAATAACATGTTTCTCTTTGGTGAAAAAAGTATAGACCTTTTAATCTCTCCTAGGCAAAATTGAAAATCAAAATTAAATGGCTTGTCATTAAAATACCTTACTCTTGTTTATGTTTATACTATCTCCCCACGTATCCCTTTTTTTGCCAGAAGTGCCTAAAAATTGTACAACAAATTGTAATTATTTCATGACTCTATCGTATTCCTGGGAGGAAATGAAAGCAGTGATGAATTGATGAGAAGGCTGATCCATGAGCTGCTTTCCACCGTCGTGCATTGTAATCAAGCACTTGAATTGTAAAAAATCATTTCGGTCAAGACTCAAGAATGTTATGACTGAAGATGTTGCTTGTTGAAAATGAAAAATAGAGAAAATGACATTTAACTTCGGATTTCACTCTTCTGTTCAGGTGACCGAAAGCTTGAGGCGAAGGCATATTTTTGCTGGAGATGATCATTATAATGGAGCTGGGCGATGGAGGCGGCAGTCGGACGCCACTGCGACTGGATTCGCTTCAACGACGATCAACACTGCACTGTCGTTCAAGTTCAGGACAGTTGACACGTCAGGGGTACTTCTTCATGCTACCTCTGCAGTTGACTACACGCTGATTTACGTAAGTGTTATCGGCTTGAAACCCTCTGACTTTATTTTATTAATATCATCAAGAAGCCTTCAATATTCTAGTCGAACTGCGAACAAAATTTATTACTACGTCCATTTTTACTTCAGCGATACCAAATTTGATGTACTGTATTTCATTGTATCTTGTCGCGAAGAAGCCGCTGGGACAAAAGTTCAGCTAAAGTTCATGATGAACAATCAGCTGTTTAAAGACTTGAATAACACTGTGACTATGGTGCAAGAATTGGAAAAAATTTAATTTCGAACAAGACTTAGTCGTAACGAGATCCTTATGCGTTTAGCTGGGGAATGAACCTAAAATTAGCTATACATTGAGAATGTTCAAGTTTTGAATGAGAGTTAATTTTATCTCCCGTGCATGTTGCAGATTCAAGAAGGTGCTCTGTGGTACTCGTCAAAACTGGGGGAAAACTTCCCTGTGAACATGTCGCTGTCCACCGGTCGGTATGGGCCTTTGGATATCTCCGATGGCTCTTGGCACAACTTGACGCTGATCCTTGGAACTCAGGCCTTGACTTTTGAACTGAATGGCAACCCGGTTGGAGACGAACTGGATCCAAACACAATCCACAATTTCATTGATCCTTATTTAACATCGCTGACGTTTGGTGGCACCAGGGATGTGACATTATTGGGAAATGAGGCAGATACTGGTAAGACAGCTTATGTGCATTGTTAGTTTTAAGGCTTCACTGAGATTATTCCATTAGCGATTTTCTTGATTTGATATTACTTCTGTATACAGTACTTGAGTTCGCCTGTTGCTGATAAAGTTCTCGAATTTTAATGCTTGCAACCAATTGAAATCATGTGTTCGCGCTGAATCTTTCACAAGGTCCCTAGGTTTGATCCGATTATTCTATGTTTTTGAAAATTTACGTCGTGCTTTTTGAAATGTCAGTCCGCTTCAAGGTGTTGGGTATTGATTTCAAACAAGGCCTCTAGTTTGGATTTCTCGTACATTTACTAAAAGAGGGGTTTGAACGTGTTTTTGGCACGGATGCTTATTTTTCTTTCTTGATTTTTTAGGCTTCCAAGGATGTTTGTCTTCTTTCGTCGTTGCGGAGCAAGTGCAAGTGTTCAACGGAACCGGTGTGTCCATGTTGGACAGTCGATTTGTCGGACACGTCGATTTCGGCTGCTCTGCCGCCGTGCTTGGTGCAGCGGCAGCCACAGATCCGCTGTCCATCGGCGTGACGCTAGTGATAGTTTTCTTCGTCGCCCTTCTTGTCGCCATTCTTGTCAGCTTCGTAGTCTTCCGCTTCAGACGCCGCACAAAACGCACGAAGTCTCCGAGGCCAGTTCACGTTCAACATCATGTGAACTTGAAGCAGAATTCCGGAAACCAAGCAATACGAGAGAATAACAACGGTGTGAACGGGAATGGTGTCGGGGTCGTACAACAGGCGTCCGCCCCAATGGCACCGGAAACGACTGTCGTCGTCGGGCGTCACCATGTTCATCAGGACTCCGGTTACGTGGAAAATGGGGACATGTTGGGCCAAGATGACGGGATCAAATTCCATTTGGCTGGGAAGAAGATGCGCGAACTACCCATAAGTGAAAGTGTAGATGGTAAGTTTGTGATACTCATTCCTCAGTCTACCTTAGCGAAGCATTCTGAGTGAAATTGACTGCAAAATTTGTTCAATCTGTTTGATCGACTAGATTATTTCCTAACGGTCCGACGAGCTCCGCACAACTAAATTTTAAATCTCGCTGAGAAAACGTTTGCACGTTCAAAACTTCGCTACGTGAAGACTTTTTTGAAGATAAAATATTGACCCAGCGGTGTTGTATCATTAATGCGTCACCGTTGGATTTATACATTTTTTTTTTGTTTTGGCAAATTAATTTCTTGACTTGAGTTCTCTTACTATTTCACGCGAAAATATTTTTGAATTGTGCTGAAAAATAAGTTTGCCCCTCTCGAGTCGATCCATTTTGCCAATTACATCATCGTAGCTTTTCTCTGAATCCAAGCGCTTCCTTGGAATTTTCCTACTTCATAAAATATTCAAGAAAATATAGTGCGCAAAATCATCGCTGTGCGTGGGATGTCTTTCCTAAATTTAGTACCGTGAATTTTTTCCTCGATTGATTGAGACCGTATCGATTGGTCATCTCGATCAACGGTGTCTCACGCCAGTTGGCGCAGAAGATGAGCCAACGATTTATTTTTGAAATGTCTTCTGTTCGTTTCAATTATTCGTAGGTTATGGCAGCGTTGAACGCTTCCAACCGCAAACCCGGCCGGATCTTCTCGAAAGCCGTGAATCTGTCAATAAGTCACCTGGAGGGTTGTCCTACCATTCCAACGGACTCGATGAACACCACATGTTACGTTCGCGTGAATTGCTACACATGACCATGGGTATGGATATGGGCATTTCGGAGCCTGCAGAACACTACGATCTAGAAAACGCCAGCTCGATTGCGCCGTCGGACATCGACATCATCTACCATTACCGCGGTTATCGGGACGGTAACGTCCGCAAATACCATCATAAACCTGGCCGGTCTCCGTTGAACTTTCCCGGCGACAAAATGATGATGAGACGACAGAGCCCAGGGCTTGTGCCCGTTACTGGAGGTGTTGGGAATGGCGTTGGAAATAGTGCTCAGGACAAGATGCAAAGCACACCGTTGGCCCGTCTCTCTCCGAGCTCGGAGCTGTCCCAACAGACTGGACCGAGAATTCTCACGCTGCAGGTAAAAACTGACTGCATAGTCCACATTGGCTACGCGATGGATCTTGATGTAAAAATTGATCGGCTCCTAAGTGTGTTTTTTTATTCATAACCGCTTTTTGCATGTCCTATTCCAAGCAATTATTTTTCAACCTTCTCCACATACCCACCGTCGTTATTGAAGAATTTCTGTTTCGCCGGAGATCTCTGATGACGAAAATGCTAATTTTTTTTTTTGCCTGTGCAATAACTTTTGGCTACTACGTGATCACAATGCAGTATATACAGTACGTCGGTTTGACGAGGGAGAGAAAATCGCTCGACAGCCTTAATCAATCTCTGATGCGTGTTTTTCATTCGTGTGATCATGAACATTGACTGAAGAAACCTATTAGAGTATTATTGCGATGTAATTTTTGAATCTTAATTTATTTTTCCGACCGCTTCTTAATATTTTGAGTCTTATTGGATGCTTTTTTTTACAGGACATCAGTGGAAAACCTTTACAAAGAGCACTTCTTGCTGCATCGCCATCTCGCCCGCTGAACTCGGAGCGCAGCATGAACTCGCCAGTATCGCACTTGACGAGCAACAGTTCCACCACCGCGACTGGCAGCTACCATTCGTCGAAGAAGCCGCCACCACCGCCATTGGCGCCCGGGCCGAAACTAGTGCCTCGCCCAAGAAATTCCAGCCTCGTATCTGCTCTCGACGACGTGTCAACATCGAGCGACGAGCGTAGCCCTCGTCCGCGTCGTGGCAAGTTTTCCGTTGCCCCATCGCCAGCGACGGTCGACAAGGCGCCACATCCAGCTGTCGCGGATTCGTCGACGGACGAGAGCGGCAATGACTCGTTCACGTGTTCCGAGTTTGAATACGATGGCTACGAGAAGCCGGACGGAGTGTCGGTTGCCGTAGCACCGCCGTCGAAAGGGCAGACGGAAACTCGTCACGTGCCGGCGACATTCCGAGGATCCCTTAGCACCCTGGTAGCGTCGGATGATGATAGCTCGTTCAAAGCCACCGACGGAGCTCAGTGGGAATACTTCTTGGACAAGTGGACGAGGCTGGAGACGTTTCAGAACATGGTCGGAGTGTTCACGGACATCGCAGCTCTGCCTGATTCTTCGGGACCTGGCGAGAAAGGACATGCGACCGTTTCCGCTGTTGCGGCGTCCGTACCACCGCAAAATCACAACGAAGAATACGTTTGATTCACGAGCTTGTTAGCATTATAGAAAGACATTTTTTTGTGAGCGATTTCACTACAAATTTTTCGGACGACACTGCGCGATTTGTGAAGATGCGATAACGGGCTTTTCGATTCTTATTCGTGTTCGATGTAGACTCCACTGATCCTACTATATTCCGCAAGTTCGAATTGTTTTTTTTTTTTCCTCGTGCCATTACGTTGTGTTTCATTGGGGTAGCAATCATTTTTCCCTCGACAGATCTCCAGAATTCTGAAGTCCTTCCCTATTTCAGATTTTTTTTGCTTCAAGAAAACCGAGCTGTTAACAAATTTTGAGTAGCCGCAAGCGAAAAAAATTGAATCCTCCGTAAGCAAGGTTAAGTTTGCATTACTCCAAAAGTACATGAATAATGAAATAAATATGCGGACGAATCTGTTTATTACGACCCTGCGTTCTATTTGACTGGAAAGTTGTTTTGAGAATCTAACTCCCGTTTAATTTGACGCAGGGATCCGTTAATGTTGATCTGACGGTGTGTGTTTTAAAGTTCCTTATGAGCAAAGGACCTTTTTTCACAATTTTTTCCTTTTCTTTTTTTTAACCGCAGAATGAAAACGGTACTGTATGCGTTTTTTTTTTTAGAGAAGAACTAATTTAATTGACTCATGGATCCATCCCATCAAAATCATTCCTCATTCAATGAAGTGACTCGCGCCGTCCGATTTGTGATAAGCAGTCGTTGTTGAAAAGTTTTTTGAATGCCTCGATATGGTGTTGAGAATTGTAAGTTTGTAATCGTTGCTCAGAGACTTGGAGGAAAAAAATGTGATCGGCGTTCTTCCAACCGGAACGATTTTTTAAGCGTTGATAACTGTCGGATGTGCCATTGTAGCTTGAAATCTTTGGATCTGTTTTTTGTATCTCGACGCTTGCCATACTTATTTGCTTTTTTCTGAGCTCTTTTTTTTGTTGGTGAAATTGAGGAGAGAGTGAAAGAGAGCCATGTTGAGCAGTGCCAAAAATTTTTGAAAGACGCTCAGAAGATACTTTTCAGTGCCTTTTCTTTTGAATTTTGTTGATGAACTGAAACTGTTTTTCCTTCCTTGATTTTCCCGTTTGTTGTTGGTTTTCTACCCTTTGTTGTATTCCTGGATGCAGATCAGTAAAAAAATTTGATGATCGTAAACTTGGCTTTTTAATCTTCAAACTCTCAATTCAGATTCAATCTGAATTTTGAGTGCCTTTCGTAGATTGGGTCCCAAAAATTATCCCATGAAACTTGAAATTTCAGACGATTCCAGATCAGAAGACGACGCAGAGGAATATGGCAGCATCTGACGAGGCCTATCCACCTGTAAGCTGTTCGAAGTGAAATTTATTTTTCGACCTGAAGATTATTATTTTTTTTGTTGCTTCAAGGAACACCCAAGAAATCTTATTCCTGCGTTGCTGCATCAGTTTTTTCAACTGGGTTGGGTCACTGGAACGGGTGGAGGAATATCAATGCGTCATGGGTGAGCGAAGTGACAAATGCGAACTTGATATTCATGTACAGTGTATGATTTATTTTTGGAATTAGGAAGCTGTTATGAATTATACAGTATATCACGTCTTGCTGTAAAAGTTTCAATTGTCTATGAAATATGAACGAAAATCAATAATCAGATGACTCCCTATAACGAAATTCTGAGTGGCAAAAAAATCGCTGTACTGTATAGGAAATTTCATCGTAGAGAACCTCTGAGAAAAAAAGAAATCGTTGCACAGAGAAAACTGTTGTAAGGAGTGAGTTTACCTTTACGTCAAATACACTTAATACGGGACTCTCCTGCATGTTGAAAACATTTTCGAATTACAATTCCTTAAACCGTAAATCACGTTTGTGACTGAGATGGAATGCGTATAATTCTGTTCAAGAGAAAATGCGAACTCTTCGTTCAATGCATTATAGTACAGTACTGTATTTGAAAGTTCGACTTTTCATGAGAACCTTGACATCTGTATGTATTTTATTTTTTGCTCCGTTACGTACAGATGTTGCCTGAATTTGTAATGCTTCAAAATGCCGAAGTCAGATCGGAATGATAAGTTATTTCACTCCTGGTAATATTGCTTGAGGCGAGGTCAAGCTAGTTCGGGTCTATAATCAGGTCGCACTTGCTGATTTGTCTTGAAATCCGTTCGTTACGAAATTTAAAAGACCCGAAATGACTTGCAAATGTTTGATTTTGTAATCTATTTTAGTAATTCGAAGAAAAAGGTCGGTTCTTTTTTGCATGACGTTCCATTTACATTTGGTGACGTTCTCTTCATTGCTGTCACTGTCAAGGGACGAAATTTTCATCGCACCATCGGGTGTTCACAAGGAGCGAGTGAAGCCGGAAGATTTATTCGTCGTCAGTGCTTCTTCTAACACCATTTTGAGTTCACCACCTGCTGAGAAAGGGCTGAAAATGAGCGAATGTACCCCATTGTTCATGGCTGCTTACGAACGTGAGTTTGTCTTCCATATTGTTTTTATTAAATGATGAATGGCGAGTAGATCTGGATTACCTTCAATCTGAATTGATTTACAGTATATTCTAAGATTAATTTAGAAGCCGGATCAAAGCGATGAAATTTATGGCTTGAACTTTCAGTTGGAAGAATCCGTTTCATCATATGAAAAACTTGCGTACCAAGTTTTCCAATTTTAGGAAAATTCGATGATTCGTCTGATTTTGAAGAAAGCATTAATGCACGGAAAGTTTCATAATGTATTCAAGAGTCATCCGACAAGGGAACGCTACTAGTAATAGGTTTTCTTCCTTTCTTGCTCGTTTCTCATTTGCATTCATTATTTCCACTCTGAGATCGTTCCCCGAGCACAAGAACGCGGGATCCAATTGCGAATTCTCACCCGTTGACGAAGCTTCCGAAAAAGCGGGCTTCATTCTGGAAGCGTCATTTCTGCCCTAGCGTCAGACGAGCTATAACGACCGTGTGTACCGTATATATGAGAGCAACTTCGCCAGTAAAATTTACTGTATATGCCATATTTGCATATACTTAATTTATATTATGTATATGCGACATATATTATTATGTAAAATTTTGTGGATTTTACAAGTTTCAAGATGTGCTAGTCTTCCCGTACCACCTCGTTGGTGTCCCATGTCATAATCAAGTACCATCTGCGCGGTTATTGCCCTTCTGAGCTGCTCATTGAGTTTTCATCGGCTTCAGGGACGAGTAATTATATTTTAGTTATTGCAACCACGTCCTTGACTTGAAACGAAGTCACAGTAATTCACCATGGCTGTAGTTCATGTTAAACCGCAGATGATTCAGCTGGTTTCCTATGCATAATACTTTCAATCCCGCCTGCAGCTGGTTTTGACCCAATGTATGAAAACAAGTTCTTTACAACTTTGAAAATTTTCATTTTCAATGTACCTTACGCTCACCATTCGCGTTTTTTTCCCATGACGAATCCGACGAAGCTATTTCTGAATTGCTCCTCATGGCTGCCAACATTTGTGGAATGATCACAAAATTGTTACCGCGTTAGCAACATTTTTCCTTGACCATGAATAATTCAGAAGAGCTTTTTTTCTACTCGGAGCGAATATTAATGGGATAGAAAAGCTACATTCTATCATTTGACGTATTTATTTCTCTCTACCTTCCTATCAAAAAGTTTGTAGAAATATTTCCAACATTTCTCAGGCCACTCGTGTGGAAGTTTTCAGAAAAATGAAGGGTTTTGTCGGGGCGATTGTTTTCGAATCATTTGAAGGTGTGTCATTCGGACAAGCTTTGTTTCATCCCTCTTCAGCAGCCCTTGTGAGAAAGCGAATTTTTCCCCGAAAATTTGCATGTGTGCATTTTGGTTTTACCGATCCATTACAGGCTCTTAGAATAGGCGTCTGATTTCAAGAGCTCGTTTCGTTTCTTAATCTCTTTTCTGTTGTGAACTTCAAAAATGATTCTAACTTCTTAATGTCTTCACTTGACTTTTCATCACCAACCTTATTACGAAAGAAGAGTAGAGGATTTTCAGATCAAAAAAAAGGGAAACACAGCACTCAGCCGGGTTGCCGGCCTGCCCCCGTTTACTAGGGGCTAATGGATTGACGATACTGTATTTCACTTGTAGAAAGATACAAGTCAAAGCAACTCTTTTTTAAATTTTTCCTTTAGTGACTTAAGTCGTCCAAAACTTACGTGTTCGCGGAGCGCTTTGAGGCTAAGCTTGTGAGACTTCAGAGTGTGTCCTTACCCATTACAATGACCCAAAAGTGGGGAAAAATAGTTGTTTTAATTTCGAGCGTAGCTTGGTGTGTTCCCGCTTCCTCGATTTTTCCTTCCTCCTCTGTGATTGGCCTCTTGCTTGGCGCCATCCGGTTTGCGACGGTTGCTTCTTGAATTTTTCTCTAGTGCTCCTTCTTCCTTCGGCGATTTTTTTTATTCTTTATTTTTAATTTTTTGTTTTTTAGATATTTTTCCAGGACAGCAGCACTTATTGGCTTTATGATGAAATCCGTAGGAGAAAAAATCCGGTAAGTACAAAAATCCTGATGAGTACTACAAAATTGTATATTGTCTCTGCGTTTCCCGTCCAACTGTCAGGAAGGAATAAAAATCTAGTAGATTTTGAAATTGTGAAAGTGCAAAGGTTTTAATTCCTTCCAAGGGTTTGAGAGGTTAATAAGGATTGCCTTTCAAAATAGAACCTCACCTTCACTTCCTATGTTTCGAAACATAGGAAGTGAAGGTGAGGTCCTTTCTCTTGAGATCTCAAGAGAAAGGTGAGGAAGCCTGCAAAATATGTCGCCTTCATTTGGAGCCTTCATCTCTGCATAGTTTTGGATATAAACTCCGTCCTTTTCCAAAGATTTTCACAGCTCTACTTTGACTACTGAAGTAATAAACTTGCATGAATTTGGGTGGAAATCTTGTAGAGTTGAAAACTTGTGGACTTTTCATAAATGTTTTCATAATATTCCCTACATAATGTTCTGAATACAGCAGTATTGAATATTAAGATTGAGAATGAAATATTACTATATATAACTGCATTTTGACTTCTTTGATAACTTAGAATTGTTTAAATATCATTTCCTTCTGTAGTTTTCAAAAAAGGTTTTTCAGATATGTAAATTCATTTTTTGGGATTTTTGTACATATGGGATTTTTGAACCGTGCAACATTTTTGGCCTATTCAGCTGCAGGTGATTTTTGGGCTGCAAAATTTTTTCCTGCACCAGTGACCATCACACTTATCACTCATGGTGATGTTTGGCTTATCATTTAAAAAGAGCAAAATAGAAAATAAAAGAATACTCTTGAAAGGAAATTGAAATTAAAATTCAATTCTATTTTTTACAGTTTACTTTTTTCTTTTTGAAAATTGTGACTTTGTGAGTCACAAAAAATTGTTTGACTTCTTCAGGAAGAGCACGTATAGTATGTACGTCTATGCATCCTACGCCTTCTTGTACCTTGTGCGTCGGGGAAAGGATGACTTGAAACAGCAAATTCCAGAAATGCTGGCATCCTGCGAAGGAGAAACCCTGAGAGCTGATACTAAACCATCAGCAGCAATCAACAGCAGTGATGATGAAGCCAGTCAAGCCACTGCTAAACAAGAGGAAGCCAGTACTCCATCTACCGGAGAAACGCCGCAGGTGGAACCTTCAGGAATTAATGCAGAATTGAGGCCAGAAGAATCGCAACCCCTGGGATCAATCTTTTTTACCAACTGCACTTTCTCCTCTGGGACCTATGTTTTCAAAATTCAGAAGTGAAGAATCATGTGGCCCTGAAATATGAGTTGGCTCCGGTAATGAATTTTTCCATTGTTGGGTTATGTCATTAAATGTCTGCTTGTTGACTTTTGAGATCTTTCACCGATTCTGCGCCAATTTCATTCAAGCTGTCTACTCCCTTCTGGAGGATCCAGCTGCCTAACGTCTGAACACTTCATTTTATTCAAAAATCACCTTTGTCAATATTACCTGCTCAACAACAAGGACAATTTTGAGGGTTTTATGGATGAATAAGTTAATGCTTTACAGGGCTCTGCATGAATTGGTACCCAAGAGAAATGGGACCCATCCTGGGACTGGATACAAGTGGTTCCTGCAACATTTTGTTTCTGTGGATGGAGGCAGGGCTGCTGGAAAATGGGCTGGGGGAACCAGAGAGGGACCAATGGTCTGTCTGGGCACAGACAGCAATGAGTGGGCTGCAGGCTGAGTGCGCAGCACAACTAAACAAACAAATGAAAAATTTAGTAGATTAAAAAATTAATCTAAAAAACCACGTTTTCAAAAAGC